CCAGAGGAAGACCTCATTGGCTAAAGCAAAAGGCTCCAGAAGTCAGCAAGTCAAGTGATCCTCTTTTTCTCTTGTGACTTTTGGGAAATTTGTTCCTGGGGAACCATAAGCAGCTACCCTTGTTTTACAGATTAAGAAAAGGGAGGGAGCAAAGAAATGGAAACGCGATTTCTGGAAATACACGGAAGATGTGGTGAGAAAGGTGGAGCAGGCCTTAGGGGTACATTCCTCTCTGGTTGGAATAGAAGCCAAGTTTTGGGCATCACATTCGATCACCAGGGTTCTTCCCTGGCACTTTCCTGTTTCACTGACTTGGTTGGAGGAGAACTGGCCTCTGGGCAATGTTTTTGTGTCTGCTGCTTAGAGATATGCTTTAAATTTTTATTTTTATTTATTTATTTTTTTGGGTACCAGGGATCAAACTCAAGACCTTGTGCTCTCCAGGCAGGTGGCGGAACCACTGGGCTAAATCCCGGGCCCCTTGTCTGTTGTTTAGAAAGTCCATTATCAGGACTGGGGATTTAGCTCAGTAGTTCCAGTCCCTGCCTTGAAAGTACAAGGACCTGAGTTCAATCCCTGGTACCAAAACAAAAAAGAAAGTCCATTAGCAGCTGGTTGGAGAGATTCCCTAGCAGCATGGCTACTGCCTTGATTAGTACATTTTCTGGGAAAAGGCTCTGGGATGAGCCTCCCAGTTCTATTTGGGTGCAGTTAATTCTTGCCTCCATTGGTACTAGTAAAATAAAGTGCTCAGGACCCAGACAACCTTTCCAGACTGCTTCTCCAGCCCCTCCCTTGTTTAAATGCCTGGGTCCCAGCTGGATCCAGACAGAAGCTCCTTGCCTGAAGACGGGGCTGCTTACCCCTCTGATCACACTGCAGACTGGGAGTTGTGTCTGGGTGCTGCTGCCCAGCATTGTGAGAGAGTATTGGCCTGCAAATCTCTGGCCCAGGAAAAGATCAAAATTCAAAATGGCAAGAGCAGTTCCTGCTGAGTGTGTATCAATTTCCCACCCTTATAAGCTGAAAAACCTTAAGTTGAGCCATTGTAAGTAGGAGACTGTATGTACCTGCTAACTCCTCTACATGGCCGACTCTTGCACCCTTCTGCCTCCACTTGGGCTGTTTATTACCTAGAAATTCTATCTACAGTCTATACTGTCAGTATTTTCCTTCTCTACAAGCAGGCACTCCCGGCCTCCACAGCACTCTAGACGTTTTATGGCCCTTGCAGGCTGTTATTTTCTCTTTCTCTATATTTCTTTTTTGTGCCCTGAGGATTGAACCCATGGCTTCATGCATACTAGGCAAGCACTCTGCAACTGAGCTACCTCTCTAGCTCCTTTTAGACTTATCTGTGCATATATATCCCTGTTGGATCATGAACTCCTAGGGGTTGGAGTAGATAGAGATTGCCCATATCAGTCAGCTTGGGCCACTATAACAAAATATCGTAGACCAAGTGACTTAAGCAATAGAAATTTGTTTTCTCATAGTGTTGGAGTCTGGAAATCTGATTTTGAGCATGGTTTTGTTTTTGGCAAGGTCTCTTTTCCTGGCTTGCAAACTGTTCCTTTTTACTGTCCACCTTCTTACAGATGGGTCTCCACATGACCTTTTCTTGGTTTATAAACTGGGAGAGATGGGCTGAGGATTTAGCTCAGTGGTTTCACCGCCTGCTGCGCAAGTGCAAGGACCCAAGTTCAATCCCCGGTACCAAAAAA